CAGGCACTGAAGGAAGCGCCCCACAGACAGGCCACACTGCACCTCAAACCACCTTATTGGATCCCCGGTTCCATCAATGAGGAAATCAAGGCACAGAGAGGAGAAGCATCTTGTCCAAGTTCAAACAGCTGCTAAATCCTGAAGTCAAAGAAGCTGGGGGAGGGGAGCTCAGACCAAGGAAACGAGGCTGTGACTACCAGGGGCGACGACAGGACTGAGGTGTGGCATGGTCGACTGCTTTACTGGACAGCTCAGGGAGGCAGCAGGGCTGCCGAAGCCCCATATCACAGGCAGGGACACGAAAGCGTCACAAAGAAACAGAACCCGGGGCCCGGGGCAGGACTGGCTATGAGCCACCTCTTCCCTCTCTGGTGTTGAGGGCCAACCTAAGACACATGATGGTGAATCTGAACTCAGCGTCTGGCAAGTGACAAGCCCTTGTGGGGGAGGTGGCCTGAGCCCCAGGCCACCCAATTCAAACAGTGAGTCTTGGTCAGGAGGTCAAAGTTCAGAGTTGGCTTTCTAGAAAAAGAAACAGCTCTACACTGAGTCATCTGCTCTCTCTTGTGCAGCCTAGGGGCACAGCTTTCAAGAGAATCAAACCCTATTAGTCCAACTGGCCCATCCTATAAATAACCACCATTCAAAATCCCCACAAGTAAATGGCAGCCTGATGGGTCCAAGCCCTCCCAACTCAGCTTCCATCCCCATCTCTTGCTGTACCCAGCACACGGATTTCCCCACCATACCCAGCAGCCTGCCTCAGGGTCTTGCCTCATCCTGGGAATCCTGCCTCCCTGTCTTTCAGGTCTTAGTGGTCTTTCCAGGGACCAGCAGGCTCAGAGCAGCCCCTCCTTGCCATTCCTGGCCATCTCTTGGCGACTGCATTTCCTTCTTCACATTTGTCCCTTTCTGTAGTCGTGGATGGATAGGAGCTGAGTTCCTGACTGCTCATGCAGCCCTTAGCTCAGTCCCTGCTATGTAGTAGGACCTCAGTCAATACTGGCAGCATAAAGGAAGGAATGGAAGAACAAATCCACAAACTAGAAAGAGCCAGAATCGAAGCAGAACCACCTCGCAGCAGTGGATCTTTAAAAGAAAGAAAGGTGGGGGGTGGGGGGAAGACCCATAAAGAACTGAAATTCACTGATGAAACCAACCCTTGGTAGGTGTCCAGAGCAGCCTTCGCCTCTGGGCTGAAGTACCAAAGAGAGGGCTGCAGCCCACCTCCCGTCTCTCCCAGCTTAGCCAGCAGGGTGGGGCGTATGACCAGCCAAGTTTGCGAGTTAAATCAGAGCACTCTCTCTCTGCTCACATGAATTTTCCATGTAACCAAGTTTTAAACCCCAAACATCCTCTAAGATGTTGCTTTTGATGAAATGCTTATTAAACTGTACACCACATTCCTCACACAGTACACTGACCATCATTTGACTCTTCTTGATGGTTTGGGGTCAGGAGGCTCCCTGATCACATCACCCTCCTACAAGCCCAGGGAGGCCACAGTGTGGTGTGTGGCATCGTGGGCTCCCACACGCTCTGGCCCCCGACCGCCGTGCTGTGTGTGGTTTTGTGTGTAGTATCGCTTTCCGTCTCCCTGCTGGCTGGTAATCACCGTTCCTACTGCCCACTGTTCCACAGCCTCTGCGGACCCTTGACAGCTTCTCCCAAGAACAAACCTGGGAGGACTGTGAACCACGAGTCAGCGGGACCTGAACACAAGCCAGAGGCTTTGAGCAGGACACAGAGGCCCCAGGCCTCAGGGAGGCTTTTCCCACCCTACTCCCACTACTCTACAGCAGCCCCGCAGCAGCCGGGGGCACCTGGGGCTCCCCTGGCCAGGGGGCTAGGAGCCCTGTGAAGCCGAGCAGTGCTCTGTGAACTCCTGGGTCCCAGCCACGTTTCCCACACCTTTCGTCTCCTTCACTTGGGAAAACAGGGCCCTCGAGGGAGCCTCTGGGAAGAAAGTCGCAGACGGTGCTGAGGCGCATTCTCCCAGGGGGCAGCCAGGCCCCTGACAGGCAGTTTCCCAAAGTGAAACAGAACCCAGAGGCCCTTCCCAGGGACTTGCTGGGAATTCCCAATCACCCCCCCCCCCCCCCCCCCGCATCCGCAGATTCCGCATCCGCGGATTCAACCAACCGCAGAACAAAAATATTCAGAAAAATAAAAACGCATTTGTGCCAGACGCGTGCAGGCTCCTCCTCCTTGTCCTTCCTCCCTAAGAGACACAGCGTGACAGTGATTCACACATTCGCTGTTATAAGTGACCTAGAGATGACTCAAAGCATACAGGAAGATGTGTGCAGTCAACGCAAATACACACCATGGCCATCAGGGACCTGAGCACATGGGTTCTGGTACCCCAGGGGTCCTGGAGTAGCACCAACTGTGCCTTAGGAGGACGGTTAGTGCCTCTTTCTCCCTCCCAGGTAGATCTTTTTTTTTGTTGTTGTTGTTGCTGGGGATTGAACCCAGGGCCTGGGCATGCAAGGCAGGCACTCTACCAACTGAGCTCTACCCCCAGCCCCCAGGTAAATCATTTTGAACCAGAGGATGTGAATGAACTTTCTTTACTTTCAACAGTTGAACCGCATGATGCCACATTCGTGGCAAGATGGACCATCTAGAGGGCAAATGTTATCTAGTCATTATCTCCAGGTATGCAGCCACGACAGGGTTAGTGTCCAGTTTCTTTGGTTGAGCATGCATGAGTTACGAAATCAGGTGGATAAAAGTTATTTTTTCAAGCTTTTCTTTGGCCTGCAATTCCAGCAACTCAAGCAGGAGGATCACAAGTCTAAGGCAAGCCTCAGCTACTTAGCAACACTATCTTGAACCCCCCAAAAAGAACATTTTAAAGAGGGGATGGGGGTATGGCTTGTGGCTTGGTGGTAGAGGACCTCTGGGTTCAATCCCCAGTACCACAAAATGAAAAGTTAAAAAAAAAAATCCTCTCTCCCCCATGTTCCTCTTTTCTGTGGCAGTTGAGCCCCCAGTGGCTGCCTCTGCTGGGGTGTGTGGGGGTCACAGGGCTCCACTGGACATCTCCCAGGAGAGCTGGATATCTGGGAGCCCGGGTGCCACCACAGAGTCCCATCAGCCCCTCTCCTCTTGCTCCTGCCTTGCTCAGCCCGTGCCCCCACAGTCTTTCCACCTGCTCTGCTCCAGGGCCTCAGGGGCCTCTGAGCAGCAATGAGAGGCTGCCCAGGAGCTGGGAGACCAACACAGGCCTTGGAAGGCAGGTGGGTGAGAGTGAATCCAGCCTCCGGCACCTTCTACTGCTCAAGTGACGTTCAACTGACTATTGGTTCTCCCCGAGCCTTGTTCTTCTCATCAGCAAAATGGAAACAATACTTCTCACTGGAGCTTAGACGAGCTGATACTTGCCAAGGGAGGCACCAGGCTCAAGGGACAGCTCCTAAATCACAGGTACTGCTATTATTAAGAATATCTAGAACACAGGGGCCAGCCCAGGTGCTCAACCCTGGCTGCTCTTTAAAGCACTTTAGGAATAGCATTTGCCTGTAATCCCAGTGACTCAGGAGGCTGAGACAGGAGGATCCAAGTTTGAGGCTAACCTCAACAATGTAACAAGACCCGCCGTCTCAAAATAAAAAAATAACAAAGGGCTGGAGATGTAGGTCAGTGGTACAGCCTTTGGGTTCAATCCCTAGTACCACAAACACACACACAAATTAATTATAATAAAATAAAAAATAAAGTACTGTAGGAAGCTCATAAAAGATGCTGAGGTCCAGAGTGGGGCGGATATTTCCACGTGGCCACCGTACATTGCACTTCCTGTCCCTCCACAAATTCATGTCCGCAGCATCCTTCCCAAAGGCCTCAAACCACCATCTCCAGGAGGCCCTCAATAAGACTCCCAGGAGGACTGGAATTTTTTCAACACTCCAATCTGATTCAAAATCTGTATGGAATTCACACTTAGCATTGTGTCAACTGGAAAACATTTTCAAATTACTTCTTACATTTTTATTTTCTTCCTGTGAGGGCTCTGGGCACACAGCACATGATCAAAAAAGGCCAAGCAACACAGGGTCCATGGTTCTCAAAGTGTAGCCCCAGGCTTGCAGCATGAACTCACCCTGGGAACTCATGGGGAGCTAGTCCCTGCCTTTGGAACCCTCATAGCTGCATGCTAACCGGGGAGAGGGGGTGGGGGGTGCGTCTGTTTTAACACATCCTTCAGGTGATTCTGGGCTTGCTGAGCTAAGCTGGAAGCTGGTCCCCACCCGTTGCTGCCAGGTAAGTAAGACCTTTTCTTCCTCAGTAAGGATGGGCCAGCAGGAGTGTGAAACTGGTCTGTCCGTGGTGTGGTTAGAACACTTCAGAGCAAGGAAGCATGATATGAACAGTCTCACCTGTAGATTCCTATCTACGATCCCATCCCCTTATCTGTTACCACTTAGATTTCTTGCAAAAAAAATCTGCCAGAACACTTAAAGTTTACCCATTTACAGGTCCGTTTTTAAGCCTAATTTTTCCTGTTTTAAGTGGAATATGCTGCCAAATGTCCACTTTGTCATTATGACCCAGGAGCTACATTCTAAACCAGCTTACAGCACGGGGCCATCAGCAGTTTGGATGTTTGCACACAACGTCAGCAGGTGCCCTGCAACTTGGGGGCTTTGCACTTGCCTTCCAGATGTCCCAGTTTGTCCTGTCGCAGTTACCACATGCTGCTTATTCAGTGTGGGTTCCTCAAACAGCCCCAGCCTCCCTTCTCATCTGGGTTGAGGAGGCACAGAAAACCCTGCTGGTTCAAACAGTGTGCAGACTAAGAGGAAACGGAGCTCGAGGGAGCGTCCCACAGATCAGTCCTGACCCTTCACCAGCCAGGGCCGCTCGGGGCACCTCAGCCTGCCCAAGGGGATGAGAGTTTCCTGGGAGCCTGACGTTTGGTGCTGCACTGAATCCTCCAGCCTGGATTGAATGTGGGTTTTTAAACCAAGGTGCCGTCAGGGAAGTCGGATTACCTGGTCCTGGAGTTTCTGGAACATCAGAGGATGTGGTTCTTCCAGGATCTTTTCGTTGAGCCGAGACTGCCCCTCCACGTTGACTTGGGATGAGGCCTTGTTGGACAGAAAGGTCACGTAGATCTCCTTGGCCTTTTCCTGCATCTGGAGGAGACAGAGGGGGCTGTCCGTTACCTGCAGACACAGCCCTTCCCTGCCTGAGCCCCTACTCTGCCCTATGGCCAGGCTCAGAGCAGTTGCAGCTTTGGGAGCTCTAGCTGCCACTCAGGACCCCCAGGTGGGGCTCATGGCATCCAGCCCCACCCTCCACCCTACTTGTGTGTCTGTGGCCGCATCTCCACTAACCACTCAGAAATGATGAGAAAGTACCCTGACCCAGAGTGAGCCCTCACTACCATTCAGGACCTGGGATACATCCTCCAAATTAAGGGCTCCTGGGGATCTTATTAAGTCACAAGAAGGAATGAAGCACTGATATATACTCCAATGAACGAATAAACCTTGAAAACATTATGCTAAGTGAAAGAAACCAGATACAGGAAGATATGCACCATATGATTCCATTCACATGAACTGTGCAGAATAGGTGAATCCAGAGACAGAAAGATTAGTGGTCACCACGTGTTGGGAGAAGGAAGAAAGAGAGAGGACCGCTTGATGAGAATGGTGTTTCTGTCTGGTGATAAAAAAGAGTTCTGGAACTACACAGTGGTGACACTAGTACAACACTACGAATGTACTCAATTCCACTGAGGTGCACCCTTTAAATGTTTTGAAAGGTATAGTGAGACACTGAAAATGGTCAAAATGGTGAGCTTCCTACTAGGTATATTTTACCACAATGAAAGAAGTCAAGGGCCGAGGGTGTAGCTCAGTGGGGAGCACGTGCTTAATATGCGTGAGCCCTGGGTTTAATCCCCAGCACTGAAATAAGGAGGTCAAGGTAAACCTAGTTCACATGCCCACCAGGGATCCAGCCAGCACCTGCTCTATAGGGTACAGACACCTTCTAGGTGACTCCCATTTCCTCAGTTCCCTGAACACCCAGCAAAGTGCCATTTCCCGTAAGCCCCTCTCCTGATGAGGACAGGGCCAGGACAGGTGACGCGTGCAGCAGGCTCAGGACACGGCTCCAAAGCCTTCAGTTCCACCCAGTTCCCTGCCTAAGAAGCACAGCGACCTCTGCAGGTGCAGCCTGACAGCCTCCGGGGCAGGCTGTGCTCGCTCACGGCCCCCCTGAAGTCCCAGTGCAGTCCTGCCAGGAAGCCGAGCCCTGAGGAGGTCAGGCAGCAGAGACGACAAGATGCCCACCCATCAGCACTGTGGCTGCACCCAAACCCAGCTGGGGTGGGAGTGGAACGTACCCCCATGGGAAGGAGCCCGGCTTCACGGTGAGCACTTTGTCTTCAAAACAATGTGCCTCGTGTTGGGGCTGCAGACCTGTGGACTTCCCCTGAGAGGTCTATTTTCTTTGAGAGAAAGGAGACTTCCTGTGCCCCTGCCTCACCTGCAGCTAAGACAGGCATTTCTCCAAACATCACAAGTAAGTCATCACCATACCCTGCGGAGAAGACCCCCAGAAAGGGCTCTGAACTGCAGCCTCTCAGCTCCGATTTGCCGAGGGAGGCGAGGGGGCTGGGGGGGCGGCCTGGAAATCTGCCTTTCTCTCCAGAGAGCCTTCTGGGGCTCTGAGTACGCTATGGAGCTTGGCTTAGAAAATTCTAGGCTCTGAAAACCTTCTGGTCTTATGGAAACCGCCCAAAGTGTTCTAAAACTGATGCTTAAAAACAGGGGGGGAAGAACTTTTGTGGTTCCAGAGACTAGAAGACCCCACTAGGCTGCGGCTTGACCAGGGTCCCCTGGGAAAGCGAGCCTCGCCAGTGCTTACAGGAAGACGGCCTGGGTGGGGGTCGACCCCCACCCCAAGTCCTGGAGTCTGTTCTTTCTTGACTATCAACATAAACAACCAGTTGATGTCAAACTCAGGGACAAGGAGCCTCTTAAGGTAAATATGGATGTTCCAAGGACAGGTCTGGGGATCATCAGCGAGGCCCAGGGGAGCAGCACTTTGTACTCTGCACCTCTCAAAGACCCATCCTCTCTATGGAGCCAAGAGTCTTCCTCCCACCACCCCCTGCCCTGTCAGGAAGGAACATTTTTGGAAAACCACTTCCTGTTTTACAGCTACTTCACAAAAGTAGAATTTCAGCCTGTCAGATTAGCTAACTCCATGCAGAGCCCTGTGGGCAGAAGGCCTTCCCTTCCCTAGAACACTCACACACACACCATAGCACACACATGCACACATGCGCACACACTGCCCATGGGAATCCAGGCTCTCTTAAGTAGTTCAAGAAAGAGCCGGGTAATGAGCGGCCTGAGATTGAGGTGGGGGCAGCAGGCCACAGGGCAGGAAACAGGTGGCAGGTCTACAGGTATACAAGCCCCAGGACCCAGACTCACCTCTCCCACCAGCCGCCCCTCCTAGGTCTCAGGGGGTCCCGGACCTGCCTCAGGCCTGCCCCCATCACATGCCCTGAGGAATGGCCGAGCAGCAGAGCTTATCTGAGCCAGGATAGGAAGCATGACCGAAAAGGGAAGCCCCGAGACCGCCAACCACAAGCCGGTCACGGGAAGGCCTGCTGTCCAGACCGAGAACACTGAACAAAAAAGAAGAACCAGTCACTTGAGCTATCTTGGTACATTTTTCCAGAGCTTTGTTAACCCTATTCTGGCTGCTGTTAGGATAGGAAGAGGACAGCCATCCCTGGTGGGGTCGATTTGGGGTCTGTGATCTGAAAAAGAGGCCAGCTTCTCTTCCATGGCCCTGAGACACGCCAGATCACAGCCTAGACAGGGCCTCTCGCTCCCTGAGGAGACCTAATGAGCCCAGCTTCCAACACACCCCCGAAGGTGCTACAAAAGGACCCTGCCTGGGCCTTCCAGGTTGGGGACTATGGATGGCAATGTCTGCACCCCGGCGAGCTCCTTTCAGGCTCCCCCAGTCTGGGCCTTTCCTGGCAATGCCTCTGCTTGCCCACAATGCATCAAGTGAACTCATTCTGAGACCCAGAGACACCCTCCACTCAACAGCAAAGCCCTGCTCACCCAGCACAGGGAAGGACGTGGCTGGGCCTGTGGGTTCCTCTCCCTTACTCGGGAAACATGCAGCTGTTTCCCACTAGGAACATGAAAATCTGCTTTGACTTCACATCCCCATGACTAATGGCCTCCACGTCCCCAACTTCTATGGAAACATCCCACAAGAAAAGTATGCGCTGGAGTCTTCCTTCTTCCCTCCCAGCAGCTCCTCTGCCACCAGCCAGCTCAGCCCAAGGGCCCAGACACTCTCTGGGCCTCACACTGGCCCCCCGCCCTGCACACCTGTCCTACCTTCTTCCCTAGCTCCCACCCTCCAATGGCCTCAGGAGTTTCCAACACCTCTTTCTTCCTTCCTATCTTCTTTGGGCTCTTGTCCCTCTGTCCCCTCCCTAAATCCTGGGGTTCCCCAACTACATGCTCTGCCAAGGTTTCGGCCCAACATTCTCCCCCAGGCCCATATGCCAACTGATCCCTAGCAGTGTGGACAGGGATGTCCCATTAACACAGCAACCTTTTTACCAAGAGCAGGGGTGTCCCTGCTGGTCAGAGGTCCTACGGCCTCTCCTCCAGGAAACGGACACCAGACGCCCTCTGACACCCACACGGCCCCCACGCTCTCTCTGGCTCTGCTCGCATCACTCTGAACGCACTTCCCATCATCTCATCCCTCTCCATCCCGAGACCCTGCCAGAGGCACCATGGGAGATGACGCACAAGAGCACTGGGGGACCAAGCCACCAACTGTGTTCACGTCGACTTCAGAAAGAGAACGAGGCAAAGAAAGTACTGAGTAAATGATAGGAGAGAATTCCCGAGAACTGGCCAAGAAATGGGAGGAGGCTGAAGGAGGAACAGATGGTGGGACAGACAGCAAGAAGAACAAACCCAGACACCTGCAGGGCTCGGAGGAGGTGACAAGAGGCACGGCCAAGGGCAGGGACCAGGTCACCAGGTAGAAGGGAGAAGGAGGGCAGCAGAAGGAAGATGTTAGTCGCCCAGGTCCTTGATCCCTGCCTCCAACCCCAGGCAGGGACCACCTCCTTGCTCCCTTCCTCCAGAAGATGGGAATTTCCTTAAGAAGTTGACTGAGGGGGGCCCCGGACAGAGGCAGGAAGGAGGGCAAAGATGAGCTGCCAAACGGGATTCACGAGGCTCAGTGACGCATAAAACATAGACCCCAGCAACCTCTCCCACCCAACAGAGGAACACATGGCCCTGTGGCCCACCAGGAAGAGACCGGGGGGACCTCATCTGGAGAAAACAAAAACATAAAAGCAGAAAATGAAGGTAAAGTTGAAATCTTCAGTAGGGACCAAATGCCAAATAGATAAAGAAGGAGGAAAGAATAAATAAAATTATGGGCTCAGTCCAGGGATTAGGGTCACCACTGGAAAAGAGACCAGAACCAGATTAGGTGGTGCCCCCTGGGTCCCAGCCACTGGGCAGCTGAAGAGGGAAGATCCCTGGAGCACAGAAGATCTAGACCAGCCTGGACACCATAATGAGACCTGGTCTCAGGGAAGAAAAGAGAGGACAGAGGAGAGACAAGCCACCCAAACGGAAGGAGCTAAAAAAAGAAAAAGAAAAAAAGTAGAAGCCATCATCTTAGCAAGGTAGGAGGCTGAGGCAGGAGGATTGTCAGTTCAAAGCCAGCCTCAGCAACGTGGCGAGGTCCTAAACAACTTAGTGAGACCCTGTCTCAAAATAAATATAAAAAGTGCTGCAGATGCGGCTTGGTGATAATGCACCCCTGGGTTCAATCCTTGGTATTGAAAAAAAAAAATAGAAATAATAGCAATAACATGAGAACATTTCCAAGAACTATAAATTTCCATATTAGGAGGCTTTACAAAGTGCCCACAAAATTAATGGACCATGTCTCTTCAAAGCCCCTGATCATACAATTTTAGAATTTTGTAACATAAAGCAGATCCTATACCATTCCAGAGGGGAAAAAAGCAAAGCAAAATAACTTATACATAAAACACTGATGCTTAGAAGCAGGAGACAATGGAACAGGCTGAGGTGTGCTCCGCGGCAGAGCACTTGCCGAGCATGAGCAAGGCCCCGGGTTTAATCTCGGGTACCACCATCACTCTACCAAAAGAAGAGGATGACAGTGGGACAATGTCCTCAAAACTCTAAACCTGAGCTTGGCCGGAAGGCCAAGAAGTGACTGTGCCTGCAAGATTCTCAGTGAGTTGCAACCTAGAATTCCTACACATCAGTGAACTGGGAGAGATGGAAAAAACTAACACTGTCACTCCACTGTCCTCACACCTCCAGCTGCCCAGGTCCCTTTCTCAGCTGTTGCTGTCTGTGTGCCACCAAAACAAGGGAATGATGTGGCAGAGGAGGAACCAGGTCCCGGAAACTGAAGCCTTTACCTTGTGGCACAAAGAGGGCAGAAGTGTGGAGCAGCGGTCAGAGAGCTGTCCCCAGGAAAGCCAGGCTACAGGGACAATCTAACAGCATCAAGCTGAACAATGCTGTGGGCCAGTGGGGAATGTGAACATTGGAAGAGCAAAAAATGGTCCAAGAAGGAAAAGGTAAGCCAGGCGCCTGTAATCCCAGTCACTGGGGAGGATGAGGCAGGAGGATTGTAAAATTGAGACTAGCCTAAGCAAACAAGGGAGGTCCTCAGCAACTTAGTGAGACCCTATCTCAAAATAAAAAGGGTTGTCGATGTGGCTCAGTGGAAAAGCATCCCAGGTTCAATCTCCAGTACCAAAAAAAAAAAAAAAAAGGAAACTATAATAGTAAGCAAGCACCTCTTTGCAAACAATAAGCAATAAATTCTTCATCATAAAAATGTCACAAAGATCTAAGTAAGCAATCCCTGAGCTACCGCAGGAAGAAGTTGTATATAATAAAATAAAAAATAAAAAGAACTGGAGATGTGGCTCTATGTAGAACTCCCCATGTGGGGTGGGAGCGGGGGACAAAAGTCACATCGCACAGGCTGAGGCCAGAAAGAATGCCCAAACCAGAGGCCAAGGGAGTTCCGGAAAGTGCTGAGGGAAGAGAGAATGACTCCTTATTATACCCACTTGTGAACTGAATGAATGTATTTGTTCCAAGGAGCATATGTCACCTTTGAAATTTTCAAAAACACTTAAAAAAAGAAAAAACCCACAGGGCTGGGGACTTACAGAGAGTGCTTGCCTAGCCTGAGGCCCTGGGTTCATCCCAGCACCACAGAAAGTAAATAAATAAATCCCTAAAAACATACTCAGTAATGAGATCAAATGACAGCATTAAACAAAAGAGATAAAAACAACCAATACCACAGGACCCCCCATAACTCTGTAGACTCTACCATACTATTAAAATGCAAAGTGCTGTTAGGTTGAAAGGCCAGGGCAAGTCACCCTCAGAGCTGTGATCATTAGAAACCTTGCCCCACCCCCACTCTCGGTGTGGTTTTCACAAATCTGTACCAGCTGCCAGCCGTTGCAATCCTGGCCACATAGAGACCCAGCCGCTGTGCTGTGCGGGTGCTGACTGACGGATGAATGAATGAAGACAGGGGCAGCCAAAGAACAAACACCTTGTTGGAGTTTTTTCTGAGGTCTCATACGACGACACAGATGCTGGTCTGTTTTCAAAGCTAGCAATAGCTCCCGTGCTAATTCAAGGAGGAAAGGCACTTGAGAGAAAAAAATGTCAACCATAAAGACATTGAATGGGAGGGAGGGGCTTTGGGACCCAAGTGCTGATGTGACACCTGGAAGGTACAGCAACCACGGAGGCCCCACGGAGGCCCCATGGAGAGGGTGGGACATGTCACCCTCACAATTTTCTAAGTCCCCCACATGACCCACAATAAATGCAGAGTGTCAGGACCCTACTAAACGAGGGGGCTGCTTTGCCTGCCGGCCAAGTGACAAAGCAGGGACGGGGGAAGGCAGTGGGGAGCCAGTGCTGCTCCACTATTCGGTGCTCTGGAGAATAAAAGCCCCAGCAGGATGGGATGTGAGTCCAGCCCTCAAAGTCCATTGCCACGGCTGAGACTGCAGGGCCAGGGGACAGTCCTGCTGCCTGCGGAGCCCCCAGGGGTTGACCGCCTGAATGCAGGAAGTGAGAGCACACTGTGGTCCAGGCCTGATTCTAGGCGCTCGGATACCACAGGGAAGATGAAGCCACACGACAGAGGGAAAGACAGAGCCAGGAAACCAACAAGCGACTACACAAGCTATCTGAAGTCAGGGAGTGCTGCATGAGTCAAGTCAAAGGATGAAAAACAGACCCAACAAGGTTCTCTTTAAAATAACCGAGGCAAAAATCGAGATTTGCATCAACCCCAAAACTGCCTCAGTTGACTACAGAGATAAACCCTCCCACGCCTCCCTGCTAGGCCAGATGTGATAAGTGTGATTGCGAAATTCAGTTAGGCCCAGTCCAGTGCCTGCGTCCTCCTCCTCCGCTTCTGAAAATAAGAGACTGTCTTACGCTGACTCCCTAGTTTTACTTCCTGTGCTGCAGGACACAGGAGAGAGACCTCACAGGCTGGAGTCAAGGACCCGGGTCTGCTTCCTGGTGCAACAAACTGGGTGGCCTTAGGTGAGCTGCTGCTTGACCTCTCAGACCACATCCCTGCACCTGTGAATGGGAGCAGTCGAGAGGCTTCAGGCAATGACCCACACCGAGCCCGGACACCCCAGGGTCATTGATGCCTCTGTCCTTCCCAACACCAGCTGCTTTCTTAGGCAGCTGGCAGGTGAAGGTGACATTCATGGTACTGAAGTAATCGCCAGGCACATTCCAGGCTTAAGCCTTCCAGAGTCTTAAGATGGGCATCAGGGATGGGGGCATGGGGAGGGGCTGCCCTATTCTATATGCCTCTCTCTGGGGTGTGGACAGGCAGTGCCACCTAATACCATACCTGCCCCATGGACACTGAAGTCCTACAGAGGCTTTCCAGGGCCTTGGCCTGAGGTGACCTCCTTGCTGTGGCACCCAGATTCCCAGGTGTGGCCACACCTGTCCCCAGCCTCCTCTGCAAATAGAACCCTTCCACCTCCTTGTCATCTTACAGGGTTGGTCTTCCCATATGCTGTCCCAGCTCCTTGGGGACACTATCCCCCACCCCCAGCCCCCAATTCAGGACTCAGCTTTGAGTCACTTCCCCCTGAGGGGCCCCAGTGACCACCCACTGCCTGGGCTCCCACAGGCCCCCCACTTCCCATTTCTATTCTCACCACACTTGCAAGGTCTACTCCCCAAAGCAGCTCATCCAGCTCACCCCTGAGGTATCTCCAGGGCTTCTCAGGATGCCTGATGCTGAGCGGGTGCTCCCCACAGTCGCGGTGACTTCAACTGAACAGACGAACATGGAGCAGACGTGCAGGCCATTTGCCTGGGTGACCTGAGCACTGGTTTGAGTCCAGCTTTGCCATAGCACGGGGGGACCTCAGCTTCCTTGTCTACACTGCAGGTGAGCTGGCCCTAACACTCTAAGAACAATGGGCATCTACTCAGCCCTGACACCGAGCTATGAGATTGGTTACATCCATTGCACAGGCCAGCAGGTACTGCTGGCCCTGGGCCCTGTCCTGGGTGTGGGGGACAAAGGGGAACCAGGAGCACTCCTGCCCTGAAGAACTCCAGCCCCGAATCTTACCTGTCCCCTCATCTCTCACGTCCCCCTGCGGCCTTCACCACCTACGATGCTCTAGTCAGAGTCGTCCAGAGGAAGAAGATGCCAGGAGAAACAAGAGCCCTGCCCAGTGGGCAATTTGTCTTAGAATCTGTCCTCGTCGCTCCAGAGAAGGAGGTGGGAAGGGAAGGCCACGATGCTCCCTCTTGGGGAAAACGTATCTGAGCCTGGAAGAGCCTCAGAACAAACCAGCGTTGGGCATTTTCCAAGCAGTGGACCGTGGACAATGGCAGCTGGCCCCCTGAATTCAGGCTTTTGGAGATGGAGACTCCATCCCTGGCAGCCCACAAGCCACATCTGCCTGTGGAGATGTTTTGTTGGGCAGGCAAGGTTTTAAATTTTTTAAAAATGAGCTCAAATATGGTTTCACATAAGACCCCGAATGTCCAGCTTCTCTGGAAAACCAGCTGCAGGGGTGGACAAAAGGGAGAAGGAGCTTGGGACAAAAGGCCCCACAGGACCCTGGGACAAAGAGTAAGCAAGCCAACACCTGAGCATCCCATCAGTGAGCTCGTGGGGACAGAACAGAGGAAACCCTGCCAGCCACAAGCCCCACACAGGCAGCCCGGGCCCCACATCTGCAAGCCAGCAGCCTCACGGAGCTGGTAGCCCTGTAAACCAAGTCTCATACCCACCAATCTAAAGCCTCCTTCTTAACCTCACTCACCTCCTTTACACCCAGCCTTCAATGGCAGAAAATGCAGCCAACATGGGAAGTTAAAGGCTACCTCCAATAAAAAACACACATCTACTAGGAGAACCATCAGACACTCTCGTGTGGGGTGTCTACCAACTACAAAGCACTTATAAAGATATACTAAATAATTGACAATCCATCTGATGAACGCTGTGCTTTTATCACTACTCATCTGCTGATCATTTTACTATGTCCAAAAATGCCAACGTGGCAAACTCTGGGGAAGCATCCTCATGACTTATTCATGAAGAGAAAGATCACACACAATGGCAAACGCTAAAGGACATAAACCATTATTTTTACTCTAAATATTGGCCCATTTGGACAGCTCCATTGAAACGTGGATTGACCCTCTTTTTCAAATTATTAATATTCGATCAACATAAGATACCTAATCAGAAGCTTAAATTTTCCCCCAAGTCTAATATAAATCAGGCTTCTTTAGGCAAATTCAAAATCTATGAGGCAAGCAGCTGTAACTGGATAAGAAAAAGGAAAAACATGATCAAGAAAATGATCACAAGGTAGAAAGAAATACCTGCTTTTTATCTTGCAATTTCTTAAAATCTTCACATGCTAGCCAGAACAAAACATTTTCTTCACTGAATTCCTTTTTCAAAAATTCCTATGAATCAAAAGGAAAAAAATATCATACAGTATTCTACTTAAAAAGAAAAAAAAAAGATGCATTTTCCTTCAAGAAATGATTTGGCAAAAATTCAACAGATGAGGCTGGTTCAATTATCCTTTGAGAACTCCACCCTGAAAATAAAGAGCATGTTTAATGTTAAAGCTAGAATTTCATATGCATTTGACCTTAATGGCTTTGACACTGTAGAGAAGAATAAAAATGAAGCAGGACTCTACTTGCATTTCTTAGCTGACAATAAATTACCAAAAAGTAAATTAAAGTGGGAAATGTATTAGTTCCTTCCAGCCACTGTTTAAACAAAGTACATTCCTACAAAACCAGGCCCATTTTTTTTTTTAAACAAAAGAAAAGAAAACATATTAAGCATGTCTAAAAAACACTACAATGACGGCTATTTTAAGTTGGAAGTGCGTTTTCTTTCGGCAGCGGTTGGGAAGTTGGTGCATGGACAGCATTTCGGCCGTGTGGAGGCTTCCCTCACATCTAGATGATGCTCAGTGGCTTGGTATCTGGGGCCCAGAAGCCCTGGCACAACCTGCCACTCTCTCCCTGACAGGGACCCACAGCATCCTGGCCCCACACCTCAAAGACAGACGTTGCTGAGGTTCATTCTCAAAATTCCCATGTGGTCCTCCAACGGGCACTTAGAGGTCTGCTGGCTGAAAAAGTCGGTTCTAGGTGGCACCGACAATACCCATCCATCTGCCTCCTCTTGGAGGTTCTCTTCTCCAAAGACACTACTGTCTCTATCGACATTTCAGAGAGACCTAGGCCACACCTCCCAGGCAGCCCAGGGATGGAAATTCTCCATACAGACTCCACTGGGTTCCGTACCTTCTCTCCATCGCCTCCCACCCCACGAAAACCAGGGACAGACCACCTGCCCCTCGGTGTCACGCCCTGGCTATCTGTGAGAGCGCTGTCAACATGACCACGACAGATGAGAAGTTCTGACTCTCCAGTTGGGACAGTGTTCAGGATCGGCCTGTTTCCCCCCAAACCCCTCTAAACCTCATGCATCACATCGATCCCAATTAACAATGAGAAAGGCGAACCCGGAATCTCTTCACGCCTTCAGGGTCTTCCAGCAGACTCTCCAGGGAGGTCGCCCACTTGGCCGTGGTCTTGAGGCTCTGGTGGCTGCTGCTGGAACTGCCATCACTGTCATGGATGTCTGCAAAGCAAAGTTCAGACCACGGTCAGGGGCCCAAGGACACTGCTGTTCATCTGCACACGGTGGTCACCCTCACCGCCCCAGCCCACAGATGTTAAGCTGCATGCCAGGCTCTGTTAGGCACCTGACGTAATGACTTGCTCCAGTGAGACAGGCGCTAGTACTTCCGGTATTGTGTACATAGGAAAATCGAGGCACAGCAGACGAGAGGCTTGCCACTTTCTGACACATCCACCGGCCAGCTCACAGGCATTCCTAAAGTCTCACTCCAGCTGCCTCCCCTACCAGAACCCGGACTCCCCAGCACTCCTCCCCGACCTGCAGCAGGCAGCATCGTGACTGTGTGGAGTGGTGACTATTCGCAGGACTGACTCCCACTAATCTGAAAATTCCTGTCCATCATCATCTTATCTATTTGCCGGCTCCTACCTTGTTGCCTGGCATAGAAAACCATGGAGCAGAAAGGACCAGGACCAGTGTAAGGATGCAAAATCAAAGGGGTTGCCAAAGTACTCAGAAATCAAGGTAAAGAAACTGAGGATTAAACCCAGGGGCACTTTAAGACTAAGCCACATCCCCAGCCCTTTTAAGGTTTTATTTTGAGAAAGGGTCTCACTAAGTTGGCAAGTCTGTCCTCGAACTTGTGATCCTCCTGCCTTGGCCTCTCTAGTTGCTGGGGTTATCAGGTATGTGCTACCAAACCCAGCTTCATGCGATTTCCTTAAAATTAATCAAAAAAACATATGATGAACAGAATACCAAAGTTTAAACCAAGACAGGATCATTCTTCTGATTTTCCATTTAGACTCAACCTCCAGGACGGCTCAGCATCCCACGGTTACACACTGGTCTTTGTTTAAACTTTTGATATTTGGTTCATCATGAATATTTTTATGTAATTTTGATCTTTTAAAACACTATATTAACTATCGATTCCCTGAGGCCTGAGTTTTCAGTGAATAGCATGAATGGGTGACGACTCTGCATCCCAACATCTCTCACCGACCGACCTAAGACATTGAAATCTTGTCTTTTTTTAGGGTTGGGGCTGGAACTCAGGGCCCGGCAAATGCTAAGCAAGTGTTCTAACACTGAGCTACGATCCCAGCTTTTATATCCCCTTGACAAAAGGAAAGAGGACATGGGATCTCCACTAAGGCACTGAGGCCACTTGAGTGCAGGAGGAAGCGACAGCACAGACGCGTCTCCTTCTACAGAATCCAGACTCAAGGAAAAGCCACTGGGAAGTCACTCTGGTTGGTCTCAGGTTCAAAACCCAGCTTGGCAATCCAAACTATAAGACCTTGGGCAAAATTCTGATAGAGTATACCCCTGACCTCTAGGGTTACCCTAAGGATTCAAAAAGGAAGCGCTAACAGCATGTTTCACAATGGCTAGTGGAGAGGATCTTGAATGCTCCCCAAAGAAATGATAAATGTTTGAGGTGGCAGATATACCAACGACCTGATCTCATCATTACACACTGTACTGAAATGCTACATGGCACCCTGTACAATTATGTGTCAATTGGGGAAGTGCATCAGGGACCTGGGAACATACTTGGGCCACAACAAGCTCTGAACAAGTGTTAGTTCCTTTCTCCCCTTCCCTGAGATAATGACCGGTAATACTTTTTCCCTAATGACTTTTTTTTTTAAACTAGAAGCATGTTTTTATAAGCAAAGTTTAAATCTAGTAGAAAATAAACTTTTAATTAAGAAATCAATGAAGCAAAATTTTAAACAATAAGTACTCATCCAAAAAAGGAACAAATAAAGAAAACCACTTTAAAGGATTAATGAAGTCTTATAAATATGAATTGCTACAAATAGCTACGAGACCATTCTACTAAAAATCTTCTCGAATCAGGGCGCGGTGGTACATGCCTGTTATCCCAAGGACTCGGGAGGCTGAAGCAAGAGGATCTCAAGTTCGAAACCAGCCTTGGCAATTTAGCAAGGCCCTAAGCAACTTAGTGAGACCCTGTCTCAAAATAAAAAGTTAAAAAGGCTAAGGATGTGACTCAATGGTTAAGCGCTTCTGGGTTCAATCCCCAATACAAAAAAAAAAAAAATTTTGTAGAAAATTCATATCAAAACACACTGGGCTTAATAGAAGTAGCTTCAAGGATACCTGATGTTCTGTTAGAGTGGAAAACATACACATTAACTGCTTAATCCACTAAGACTCCACCTCCTAGCCCCTTAAGCTAAATAAAATAAAACAGAACTACAAATCCAGCCGGGACTGTGTTTCAATATGCAGTGGTGATGGAGTACCTAAGAGAGGAATCCATTATTTGGGACAAATCCATTCCTCTAATGAGAAGAGAAGTCACTGGGCCACATCACCAAACAGACCTGATGGTTTTCTAAAGTGCCCCATCCAGTATGAGGATATGAAATGAGCTCCTTGCTCTCTTTGTCCCTGCTGGGATGGCAAGCTCCTGAACAGAGAGTCTTCCCAAAGTTCAAATTCAAAGATCATCATTAAGAGAAATTTCTGCATCAGTTCATTCTGCCAAGCATCCGACTAACTCACTCTTCTGCTCTTTGCCCAGAGAACACAGTCTGATGGTTCACTCCACTTCCCCAGCAGATCCTCTCTTAAGTAAATAAACCCAGACACACAGGATGCCGTTCCAGGAACAACCTCAGGCTGCCCCTGCCATTGCAGAACTACTACTGGGGCTGGGAGTTTTCAACTTTGGTCTGAAAGGATTCCAAAACCTTGACATTCTTTTCTATAAGAATCCAAACCACAGGGGTTTTCACTGCAACACTATCTTGAATATCAATATACACATGGATTCCCATTTGCCAACAGGGAGCCAAGAGAGCTAAGACAGCTAGCCCCAGTGCCACAGTGGCTGACACCACTTTCATTCAGAGGTGATCAAACCTAATATGCTAATCATTTTTGCATATTAGGATTCTACATCAGCTTTCATTTGAACAAAAAATCTTATGAACTCAAAACCCACTAATTTGGTCTCACCCTTTATAGACTGGGAATCAAAAGTCCAGAGGGAAAATGACCTGTCCCAGGGGACCTGGCTAAGGAACTGAAGGACAGAATCAGCACTGGGAGCTCCACCTAAGGGAAACTGTCCCTAGCAGGATCACCTCCATGGGGCTGCAGGGTCCCTTAGAACATAGACAACAGATGGGCCCTCTATTTGATTCTCTCTTGAACTCCTATTCCTGCATCAAGAATAAGGAAATAACATCCACAATTGATACCATTACAGAAGAGCATGGAATTTTTTGGAATGGAGTAGAAAGCACACCAATGGGAAGCTTCTCTCAGTAGCCATGTTACTGGTTTCCTGGCTTTGGCATCCTGGATAAAGAGAAAGTCCTTCTTGCCTTCTGCCCACTTTCTGCCCCAGAGCTGCCCAATAGGTGTCTCCTACTCCCTAACTATCTATCATGTTTTCACTTTGCCCAGAAATATTGGTGTGAATTTTTCCTAGACTTCCAGATTGGCTTTCAAGGTTTTGGGGGGTTTTTTTAATTTTTTTTTTTTTTTTTTTAGTTGTTGATGGTCACAATACCATTATTTTATTTATTCATTTTTTTATTTGGTGCTGAGTATCAAACCCAGTGCCTCACACATGCTAAGCAAACGCTCTACCACTGAGCCACAACCCAGCCCTCCCCCGCCCCACTCTTAAGTTTTATTAATGCTTTTGGCTGTGTTCCCCTCCTCTTTAAATCCTTCTTGATTGGTATCAGTATAGACAGATCTTGATAGAGCAGCATTTGCAAAGGCCATCCACTTTTTGGCGTCTGTTAGTCTATTTTTCATAACTGTAGTGAAATATCTGTGGCAGGTTAATTTATAAAGAAAAACAGTCTACTTGGGCTCATGGTTCTGGAAGTACAAGGTTGAGAGTCATGGCCATTTTGCCAGCAGAATCCTGAGATATCAAGGCATCACAGACGAGAGATAGGGAGCACAGGTGTGTGTTCTGCTAGTTTTTCCTCTCTCTTTTCTTAGAAAGCCAAAAGGATTCAATCCTGGGGGCTCCACCCTGATGACCTTATTTAATCATAACACCTCCCAACAGCCCCACCTCTAAACACCATAGTCCAGTACATTTCCACCTTCTTTTTTTTAAATTTTGTGGTACTGGGGATTGAACCCAGGAGTGCTTTACCACTGAGTCACAGCCCCAGCCCTTTTTATATTATTTTTTTATTTTGAGACAGGGTCTCACTAAGTTGCTTGGGGCCTCACTAAATTGCTGAGGCTGGCCGTGAATTTGCAATCCTCCTGTCTCAGCATCCCGAATTGCTGGGATTACGGGTGTTTGCCACTGTGCCCAGCCAGCTCAGTTTCCACCTCCTTAATACATCCCAACGGGGATTAAATTTCAACAAATGAACTCTAAAGGACACATTCATACCATCCAAATCAAATGTCTCTCTTTTCCAAGTCACTATCCCCAGCCTCAATCCAGTCCATCTGACACTGCCCTAGAGATTGCCCCGAACCCAGGACATCTGTCACTCGGGGTCTACTCCTCAGACTTCCTCTATCTTCGGAAGTGCACCAAGTCAGGGATTCCTGAGCCTCCCGGGTTCACTTTAAAGGTTATTTTCAGTCCAGCAATGTACAGGAGAAATAAATAACCTTGCTCAACAGCAAGCAGGTTACTTCTGAGCTGAGCAATAAAACAATACCAAGATTTCACTGCTGCCCAATTTCTGGCCTTTCAGATCCAGAAATTTCCAATACTCTTTTATCCTTTATCATTGGTAAAAACTTCCTTTCGTGGATTGTACAAGAAAGCAGGTTTGCAATGCATACATAGTAAAAACGTTAGCCATGTTCTCCTAACAGCTTTATGATCTCTCATGCTAATGATGAGCCATTTGTCATAGCATTTGTTTCAATTTCGTCATATTCCGTTTATTTTGTTTTGTTTTTAGTCCAGTTGTAAAACATTTGCAATGAACAAAAGTTTTGGAGTTCTATGGGTTTTTTATTTTACC